AGAGTCTGGATGACGTTATTCTCCGTTGTTTCTCTTAATGGTGCAGACCCTGTGCTTTGGCTTTCCAGCCATGACAACTGAGCCAGGGGACCAGCAGATAAACCACTTCAGATCTGTAACTTTTACCTGGGGGAAACTTTCTTTACACGTCTTTGGTTTGCTAGGAGGTGGCCAGGACACACTAAGGCCTGGTCTGCACTACAGAGTTAGGTCAACGCAAGGCCGCTCACCCAGCATCACCCTAACTATGGAATTTCCTTCCCGTCGGCAGAACTGCCCCTCGGTTCCAAATTAATAACAATAATAATTAAAAATCTCTCCACGAGTGGCAGAGAGTCCAGGTTGATGCAGTTAGGTCGATGCAGTGTCAGTGGAGACACCGTGTCGCTTACGTCAACTGGCTTTCAGGAGCCTCCCCACCCTGACCGTACAATCAAGACGAGCGCTTCTGGCGAGGACGTGCACTGCCGACACAAGCAGCAAAGTGCAGACACACACAAGGGATGGAATTGCTGTGGCGGTTGTATGCCGAGGTAAGTTAGGTCGACTTCATTGTTTAGTGGAGCCGTGGCCTGAAGCTAAGAAGGGGTGAAGCTCCCGCACACACACACATGCACCATTCTCCCTGCGGTGGCGGGTTGGCAAAGTGACATCTCAAATCTCACTTACAGCCAGAGACACATTGCCGCTCTTCTCCTCCCAGCGTCTCTGCTGGAGCTTGTCCAGCAGCTGCTGCAGCACCTCCCTGGTGAGCTGTGGTTCTTCATCCAAGGCCTTCCACAGCTCAATGGCACATCTGCAAATTCAGAAACAGAAGTCAGACCTTCCCTGCTTGGCCACCTCTTGCCCTCCCCAGGGAGAGGCTTGGAGCGTAGGCAGGAAAGGCGTCTCTCAGAGGACACACCGATTGGTGCAGAGAGGCTGAGGCAGGGCAAGTCCCTTCAGAGAACTTTGTATTTATTCCTTTCCCCTAATGGGCTATTGTTCCTGAAGCTAGCACCGCTGTTTCCAAGACAGTGACCATGTACTGACCACAGAGTGACCACCAAACTGTGACCCCCAGACTGTGCAAAATTCTGCTCTGTTCAGTCCCGAGGAACTTGCCTGACCTCACTGGAGTTACTCTGGCTATTTGGGGGTGTAACTGAGACCCAGCGTTTGGCCAAGTGTCTCTTAGCAGCTCAATCCTACTGCAGTGTGGTGGGCTGGGTCAAACACTGAATCAGAACATGCCCTGATAGGAGAGGATTCAGGAGTTTGGAAGGGGAGATTGTACTGCCCAGTGGGACAGAGATGGAAGGAAACGAGTACTGAAATCCCCCTCCTCTCTTCTCTCCATTCTTGCTGATCTAAGCACTGCTGGTCCTCGCAGGCATCTGCAGAGGAAGACTGCAGATGGATCCAAAAGACTCCAGTCATTGGATTTCCAAGTTTGGTGAGGAAGGTCGGATATGGTGGTCAAGCCCTGGGGACATTGAGAATTAGGTTGGACAAATCAAGAGTAAATGGCCTGGATTTAAGGTCTTCAGGAAGCTTGGCTGAAATTCTGTGCCAACGCTGCCGAGTTTCTATAGCTTCTGAACACAGACCCTGGAAAGCCCTGTGGCTGTTTCAAGGAATTCAAACCTGAAAGGTTTACAAATCAAACACTCAAATCAATATGAAAAGCAGCACTGTATCCCTCTGGTAACTGCATTGGGTAAGAAAGTCAATTTCTTTCATGCTGCTCTTCAATTTGCTCTCCCATGTGACACAGATTTGTCTGTGGTCAGTGCAGAACTGCATTGCACAGGATGCCGAGGAAAGCCGGAGTTTTGACCTCTGGCGAGGGTCCAGTTGGGTTTCACGGCCCCTAGGCACATGGGGATTGTGTTATAAACACCTCAGCTGGATGACTCTGCAAAGTGATCGGCAATAACCAGCAGGACTCAGAGTTCACAACATATTGAGATGAAAAGAGGCACTCGCCCCTCTCAGAGCCGTTATTCCCGGCTGTCTGCAGACTCAGGCAGGCTGCACTGCATTTACGCTCAGGTCATGTGTGGATGTAATTTTTTTTTTTTTTTTGCAACAATAAAGGCTGGAAATTTCTGTCTTAAGAGATTTTTCACTAGGAGGGCGGTGAAGCACTGGAATGAGTTACCTAGGGAGGTGGTGAAATCTCCTTCCTTAGAGGTTTTTAAGGCCCGGCTTGACAAAGCCCTGGCTGGGATGATTTAGTTGGGAATTGGTCCTGGTTTGAGCAGGGGGTTGGAGTCGATGACCTCCTGAGGTCCCTTCCAACCCTGATATTCTATGATTCTATGATTTATCTCTGCTGCACAGCTCCAGAAGGATGAGTGCATTTTTTCAGCACTTCCTCAGCCACGGAATAACAAGGGATCTGACTACAGGTAACAATCCTGCACTGGTCCCCAGGGGACAGATAGATGGGCCTTTTCCATCTCCGCCTTCTCTCACGCAATAGGGAGCAGCCAGCCCTCATGACCCAGGGATGTGGAGTGAGCCCCAAAGTCATTTATTGGCCCTGTACTGGA